CTGCAGCCCCCTGACTTCTGACCGTGCTGGGGCCACACCCACTTCTCGGCCTGCAGAGGCCACAAAGCCTGGGCTCTGGCTTTAGGTCACTACGTTGCATCACCAAGAGTGGCCCTGGGCCAGTGCCTAGTCGTCTGCTGTAGAGTGATGCCCTGGCACTCGCTGCCTCAGGGCAGACTGGGCAGGGTGGCCACGACGACCGAGTGCCTCCCTGGATGTGGCCTGGAGTGGGAGGCCCGGGTACCCCTCTGTCCCTGAGTCCTCACTGTTGCCACTCCCCCCGCCCCCCCCCCCCCCCGGCTGCCTGGCCTGTCCTCCATCCCCCCGCACCCCCTGCCCACCGCACCATAGTCCAGGCCAGTCCCCAGGCACAAGCCCACGCAGGGAAGGGCAGAGGCTTTGTCTCTCCTGTGCCACCTCCACCCTGGCCCTTTTGACTCCCCAACCCACAGGACGGTCTTTCAGCCAACCTATAAGCTGCCCCTGCTTACAATGCCCCCTTCCCAGGCTGGCCCCCTCAGTTCACCCGGCAGTTCAGACCTCTCCTCCAGGAAGCCTCCCTGGGCCCTGTTGCGCGAGAGTCGCTACAGCCCTCCTGTGTTTGTTGCAGGTTCTGGGCCCAGCACAGGCCCTGTGTGCAGGGTAAGGGCAACGCCCCCCCGCCTCAGTCTCCTGGCCCATCTGGTGGCCTCGCCCCTCCATTGGCCTGTGCCCTGCCCCTGCCCAGTGGGCCTGTCCTGGCCAGTCCCTGGGGCAGCATTATCCCATGGGCTCAGGGGAGGAGGGCTTGGGATTGGAACCCTTTGACTGTAAGCCCCCCACCATCAGGAGAGGACCACCCCATCGGAGCCCCTCTCAGAGCCCAGCTGAGGAAGGGGACGCAAGCTGATGAATGCTAGTTTGGGGCGGTGAGTGGGGTCACTCTGAGTACCTGGGACCAGGCCTAGGGGGCTGGAGGGAGTCCTGGGCCTCGACTTGTCCCCTTGCTCTTCAGGGCCCCTCTGTAGGCCCCAGGGGGCTGTGGCACCTTCCTGCTGGGACTCCAGGTACCTACTGGGAAGGGAACTAGAGGGGGAAGGGGGTGCAGCCCTGCCCTTAGGGCCATTCCCAAATGAGTGTGTGCCCTGGGATGGTCCCCCAGCCTCAGGCTCCCATGGCCAGCTCCTCCAGCCGTCCTGGGTACCAAGGCAGCCCCCAGCCATGACCTCCCACCAAACCAGGACTTGTAGAGCTAGGGCCGGGGGCCAGGAGAGGCACCCACCGAAGGTGCGGCTCCCTCCAGGCCTGGAGCCTAGCCAAGGCCAGGAGGTCACTGCTGTCCGCAGGGTCAGGCCCTGGGGAGGCGCTGGCGGCCGGGTCCTCGCATGAGGCCAGCGGCTCCAGAGCTGTCCAGGCCTGAGGAGAGAAGGGGCTGGTCTGGAGGCACAGCCTTCGAGGGGGCTGGTGGGGGAACCCTGAAGGCAGGACTCGTCTGGCTGTGGAAGGTGTTGGGGGGGGGCTGGGGCCTCTGGCCAGCAGTGACTGTGGGCCGGGGCACTGCCAGGGCAGCACACCAGCGCCCTGTGGTCGTAGACAAGGCACACCTGGCACTGGTGTCGACGCTCCCGCAGGCCTTTGGTGGGGTTTCCACAGAGGACTTGGCTGGCACCTGAGGAAGAGGGGGTGGCTGGTCTGCTTGGGGCTGAGGGGCTCCAGCGTGAGCTTTGTGCAGAGGTGGCTTAGTTACCGTGGGTGAGGCTACTGGTGTCATCCTGTGGAGCTGGGTCCTTGGGAAGCAAACCTCCAGGCAGGGGACCCCCAGTGACCAGCAGCGAGAGGGGCCATGGCCTGGGGGCCCGTGGCTGGGTCTCAGGCAAGGAGAGCTGGGAGCCGAATCTTGGAATGGGAGCTCCGTGGGGATGATCTACCCGAGGGACAAAATCAGAGGTCATGGAAGCACACGCCAGCCGGCCACCCCATGAGCCCCCCTGAGACTGTCCACAAACCAGGGCCCCGCCACCCAGCATGTGTCTGTGTCTGGGGGCCCATGCCCCACCAGGTGCTGCTCACAGGGAGGTTATCCTGGCCTGGGGGCAGCAATGCAGAGCTCTGGGGACAAAAGGTCAGGGCTGAGAAGGGTTGTGAAATGTGGCTGTTTATCTCTGAAAGGCCTGCGGGGGTGCTGAGGGTACAGGGCTCTCTTCCTGGGGACAGCAGGGGGTGGCAGCCTCTTCTGGGGCTCAAGCCCCAGGCTGGGTGGGGCAGCCCTTGCCAGAGGGCAGGTGAGTGGCCGCCATACCCAGCCCAGGGAACAGGCTGTCCGAGACGCTGCCCTCCTTGATGGCCTCCTTCACCATGAGCCAGTCCTGGTCCAGCTTCCGGGGGGCTGGCACGCTGGTGCGTGTGGCTGGCACGTCGTCCAGGACCTGCAGCTGGGGGATGAGTGTCCTCACCTCGGCCCGATAGTTGTAGCCCGGGGGCACCTGCAGCGTGGAGGGCGTGGCAGGTCTGGGCCCAGCGGGCTCTCCCGTGGCTGCTTCCTCCAGACCCTCGTGCCAGTGCTGGCCTGGGTCACTCCTGGCCACCAGGGACTGAGGGGACCTCTGGTCTCCCCTGCATGTGAACTCGCTCTCTGGGCTCACAGCCAAGGTCCAGTGGTGTCCTCTGGCCTGTGGAGCTGCCCTGAGCCCAGAGCTGTGGCCTAGTTGGGCACCACCCAGTGGAGGCTGCCAGGGCAGGCAGAGTGTGCTCCAGGCATGGGCAGTGCTGCAGTGTGGGCAGGCCTGCGGGCGCGTGGTGGTGAAGGGAGCTCTGGACTGGGCCTGCGTGGGGCTGTGTGTGTGTGAGTGTGCATGATTCTACGTGCAGGCTGTACTGGACACGTGTGGTCCCACGGGGTGTGTGCACGGACACCGCAGGGGTACATGCGTGGGCTGGGGGGTGTGGCATGTGTGCATGTGGCCCTGTGGCGTCTGGTCCTGGCCTAGAAGGTCTCCAGCGATACAAGAGAGCGAGCTCCTGGTGAACAAGTCACAGGGTGCAGGTGGGGTGTTCCCCGGGGATGACCCTGCCGCCCGGGCTGGGCGTGACCCGCGTTCGGGGGGCAGAGAGGCCCCTGGGGCCATGGGAGGGCCACAGAGCGTCTCCCGGCCCCGTGGATGAGCTGCCTGGGGGCGCACCGCACGCACCTTGCTGGAGGCGCCGGGCCCCGGCCGCAGACACACCGGGTTGCCCTCCAGGGTGAGCGTGGCCAGCCTGGGGCAGAGCTGCAGGTAGCGCAGCTGCCCCCGGTCGTCCACGCTGTTGGCCTCCAGGTCCAGCACCTCCAGCTGCTCCAGCAGACACAGTGGGCTCAGGTCGGAGACGTCGTTGTAGGAGGCGTAGAGCTCCTGGGGCAGCAGGGCGCTCAGCCAGGGCTTGGCCGGGCCCCTCTCCCCAGCCCAGGGCACCGCAGACCCACCTTCAGGGCCGGGAAGCAGCCAATGCCATCCAGGTCAGTGAGGCCGCAGCGCGCCAGCCACAGCACCTGCAGGCGGCCCAGGGAGGTGCCCAGGTCCCTGGAGAGGGCACGGGTGGCTGGTCAGCGCTGTCCCGGGCTGGAGGCCCAGAGCTGTGCCACGAAGGCCCTGTGCCATGCCGCGAGCCCATCCGCCACCCACACCTGGCTGTCTCCAGCCACAGCGCTGCCCGTCACCCGTGGCTCGTGCGTGGCGGCCTCCAGGTTGCGGACGGGGTCCCGGAGCCCCCTGCCTCCCCGCCTTCCACCCTTGCTGCAGCCCCGTGGTCTCGGGCACCGGCAGAGCCCACCTTCTCCCGGCCCTGGAGGGCCTGGGCCCGGCGGAGAGGAGCCGCCCTGTCGCCGGATGACTTCGCTGAGCCGCGCCTACTGCCTGCTGCAGTGGTTCCCTTCCTCACTGGGATCACCCCCACTCTCCTTGTTTGGCCTTTCTTGTGGATGGCTTCCCCAAGTTGCAGCCCCTCTGCCAGCCAGCTGTGCCCGGGAGACCTCCCCCAGCCCCTGCCCTGGGCTTGGCCTAGCACCCCGCTCTGCCGCCGCTCCCCTGCACACAGGCAGGCCAGTGTACCTCCACGTAGAAGACCTTAGAACCCTCTGGCAACCACTGCTGCCTGCAGGCGCCCCCCGACAGGGCGTGTCCTTTCAACTGGGTTCTGGGAGGTTCCTGATGGCATTTCTTCTCTATTTCTGTCTGTGTTCCCTGCCCTCACACCGGAGCTCCGCCACTCCTGCGCTGCTTGTCTGAGAATGGCCTTCGTCTTCTTAGCTCCTCTCCCGGTTTCCATCTCTTTGCCTCAGGTTCTGCTTTCGGGGAAATGTCCTTATTTTCCAACGTTGTTACTAACGTTTTTATGTTGGTGGCCATATGTCTCATTCCTACGTGGCCTTCATTGTTCTCTGGTCTTTGTTCACAGCATGATATTCTTGTTTTGAAGATGCCAAGAGGTCACATCTTCTGTGTCTCCTGCAATACTTGGTGAAGTCTGGAGGTTGTAGCCTCCTCCCTGTGTGGCCCAGTTTCCAGGGAGCCTTCGTTTTGACCTTTCCTTTCATGCTGCAGGTACCCCAATATTCCCAATTATTTTTTTTAAAGTGACTCTTTCTCTTTTCTTTTTCTTTTTTTAAATGTTTTTTTATTTATTTCTAGGAGAGAGCGACAGCGTGAGCAGGGGAGGGTCAGAGAGAGAGGGAGTCACAGACTGAAACAGGCTCCAGGCTCTGAGCTGGCAGTCAGCACAGAGCCCGACGCGGGGCTCGAACCCACGAACCGCGAGATCATGACCTGAGCGAAAGTCGGACGCTTAACCGACTAAGCCACCCAGGCGCCCCCCAATATTCCCAATTATACCGTGAATAGCTTCTGGGCATTTAAATTGGGAGCAAGGGTCTGAAATGCTGCTTGAAAGAACTGAGCTGCTGGGGGCCCTGATGTGGGGGGCTTCCCTGCTGGGCCGGGGGTGAGGGTGGGGACCCGTCACTGCAGCATGACTCCCATGCTCCTTAAAGTGGCGCCCCTGCGTTTTCTCACCTCGGACTTGGCGTCTGCCCTTCCCCCTGCTTATCCGCTCTATGCCCGTGTCTCCTCCCAGCCCGGTGACACCTGACAGCTTTTCTGCCTCAGACCTTCCAGGGCACATGCCCGCCACCCCCCGTGGTGATGTCTGACGCACGGCTTCACCTGGGCGCCAAGGCTTTGCTCTGCTTCGTCCCCCCGTTACGGGGCTTCCACGTTTACCGCCAGTCCGTGGCGGCCAGTGAGTTTTCCCATCTCTTAGTTGGCTGAAGTTTGTGTCTGGTGATTTCTTTGAGAGGGGCTAATCAAACTGTTTTCCTTGATCTGTAACTCATTCATTCAGAAGCAGTGGCTGGGCATGGGATTCTCGGTCCTGCCTTCTTTCCACTGGGCATGTGGGCATCACCCTGTCTCCTGGGCTTGCGTGTTTCTGTGGAGAAGTCCGAGGAAAACCCCATTTCTGTTCATCTTAAAGGAAGAGGTGGTGCCTTTCCGTGGCCTCCTGCACATCTCATCTTCGCGTCCAGTAACTTCATTAGGGTGTGTTTCAGCGTTGGCTGGTCACCTTCGAGTTTTTCTTTCAAGGTGTGGTTGAAAGCCTTCTTTTGTGTCTCACAAGTTTTCTTTAATCTTTAAATATTTGTTCCGTTCTATTATTCCACTTTCCTTCCGAAGCAATTATAGACCCTCTATCTGCCCTCCATCCCTGCGGTCCGTCCAGACTCCGTTCACGGACAATGAATTGTGTTCCTTTCAATCAGTCTGTTCTCCCATGCAATTTCTTGTATTGCGTTTCCTGCAGCGTCTCCTTGGGGCTCGTCTTCATTTCTGAGATGGTATTATTGTTCCGTTCCGTTTGCTTTCAGAGTCTGTACACACCTTGCTGCCTGTGACCTGTGGTTCAGACTCGAGGCACACGGCCAGAGCCGGCTGGGGGGCAGACGAGGCGGCTGTGTGCCCAGCTGAAAACGGGAGTTCTACTGTTATAGAAGAATAAAGATTGGGGAATAACTAGCAGATTTTGCCTCATCTCACATTAGATAGGAAAATTACCAAAAACTTAGAACTAATGACAAAAAGCAAAGCATGTGGAATTTGTGGAACCCTTCCTAAAGCTGTGCGGGAAAGAAATTTATGTCGCCCAACGTATTTCTCAAAAAACTAGAAGGATAACAACAACAGAGCGAAGCACTTAGCTCGAGGAACTAGAAAGAGAACAGCAGCAAATTACAAAAAGAACAAGAAGTAAAGACACAATAAAGATGAGGATGGAGCCAGTAATAACCAGACAAACTGTAGAGAAAACTAACAGAGCCAGAGCCAACTCTGCAAAAAGTTAACGGACAACGTCAGCAAAGCAAAGATAAGGAGACAATGCAAATAAATATACAGCATTTTAATACAGGAATAATTATAGCCAGAGCAGCAACTGAAAAAAATAGAAGGTACTATAAACAAAATATATACCAACATTTTTGAAAGCCTAGATAAAGCTGGCACCGAAAGAAATAGAAAACTTGATCAAAGAAATTAAGTGGTGATTGTCATCCCCGCAAGCCTCACAGTCCTCAGATCTGGACTCACTTTAATTAATTAATTGTGAAATGTTTATTTATTTGTTTTGAGAGAGAGAGAGAGAGCACGAACAGGGGAGGGGCAGAGGGAGAGGGGGAGAGAGACAGAGACAGAGACAGAGACAGAGAGACAAAGCCAAGCAGGCTCTGTGCAGTCAGTGTGGAGCCCCACGTGGGGCGGGATCCCATGACCCTGGGATCATGATCAGGGTCAAAACTAAGAGTCGGACACTCAACCGACAGAGCCACCCAGGCGCCCCTACTGGTTTTAAAAGTAAGTTCTAGGGGCGCCTGGGTGGCTTAGTCGGTTAAGCGTCCGACTTTCGCTCGGGTCATGATCTCGCGGTTTGTGGGTTCGAGCCCCGCGTCGGGCACTGTGCTGACTGCCAGCTCGGAGCCTGGAGCCGGTTTCAGTCTGTGACACCCTCTCTCTCTGACCCTCCCCTGCTCACGCTGTCTCTCTCTCTCCTAGAAATAAAAAAATATATATATATGAAAGTAAGTTCTAATTAGCCACCATGGAGTAGACAATGTCTATCTTCCACAACAATTTCTCATACAAGAAGTTTAAAAAATAGAGCAGTCGAAAAGAGCAATAAACACGGGAGGCAATCTGGGCATCAACCCCTGATCCCGGGACCACAGACGCACAGGGCAGCTGAAAGTCTGGCCCTCGTGAGCACGGACATGAGCACCGCCAAGCAAATGGAATTTAAAGTCACAATGATGTTAACTCGGGTGACCCAGTGTCCCTACTGCAGGAACACGGGGAAGAATTAGTGCCCCTGCAACATCTGCCGATGGAGTCCAGAAATACCATTTCACGATCGTGTGGACAGATGCGTAGACACACACGCATTCAGACAGATGCCGCCCTTGCTGGTACTTAAGGTCACGCTGGGCGGCCGGCCTGCAGCCTGTAGGGTGAGACAGAGAAGCGTGTGGGCTGCAAGTGGAAGCCAAGGCGCACAAGCTGCTGACCGTCACATCATCAGTACAGAAACCTCAAGTGAATTCACAAATTACTGGAATTAAGAGGAGAGCCTGGCAGTATTGCTACTTAGAAAATCAAGGCACAATGTCGGCAGATGCAAGACCCACACATGAAACCCAGGGGGGCTGTACTGACGGGAATAATCGATTCTAGATCAGTGTCCTTTTTTCTCCACGTTTATGGTAATCAGCCAGAAAATACAAGAGAAACAGAAGGCCATTCATGTTTCTCCTGTAACTACGTGGGCATTAATTTAGTTCTGGTTTCAGGGAGGCTGATGTCCTGCCCTGTTCCAAGCAGCAGTGGGGAATTTCATAGGGGAAGTTAAAAGACTCTATGAAAAATATAAAGGAACACACGAATGGAGAGCTGTATCATATTCATGAACGTGTATAAGTTAACAAATAAACCCAAAGTAGCATGCAAATCTTTCCTCATTGCAAAAATAGAATTCCAGAAAGAGTAGTGTGTGTGACCCAACAAACAGATCGTAAACTTCAAGTATAAGAAGCATTCAGGAGCAGCCAGGTCATTTTAGGAAAAGGAAGATGACGATGAGGGTGTCAGACACAGGCAAATTAACACACAGCCCTGGGAATACAGACAGCGCGGCACTGGTGCAGGACAGATGGACAGACAGAGAGACGCCACCGAGGGCTCCCATATGTGCATCTGCACGGGGACCTGACAAATGGCACAGTGGTCTGTAGGGAGGTGGTGCATTGCTGGGAAAATGGACCCACTGTATGGCATGAATTAAAATGGGGTCCCAATCTCATGCCACCATTGAAGGTGACCTCACAGGTAGGTTGGATTAAAGACTAGAAGTAAAAGGCGAGAACGCAGGGTTTCTGTTTGTGCGAAGGCCACAACGGGCGAGGTCAGCGGGGGGAGGCTGGCTGAGGGACCTCGAAGAGTCTAAGCCACGCTCGGCCCGTATAAAGCCTAGAAGTCAAGAACATCCGCCTTCACGCCTGCGATGTTTCGGCTGAATTCTCGCTCAGCTGATGAACTGACAGACAGTACATCAAAATTATTTTCCATCCCTTAAGATACTGCCTGAGATCTTTTACACCCAATGTGGGGCTCAAACTCACGACTCCAGACCAAGGGTCGCACGCTCCTCTGACTGAGCCGGCTGGGTGCCCCTTGGCCTATAACATCGCTGTTATCAGCCAAGTCTGCAACAAGTTTACTAAACTGTCGCACTTAATTAGTTTCCTTTTACAAACTGGTCCACTTTCAGCCATGGAGATTCACAAACATCATGTGGCCAAGTTTCAGGATTCAGTAACAGAAAACTTAAAGACTTGCTACGTTTGTCACTATCATTATCAAGGGACAGAACATGTTTTCTTGCAATTTATGATCTAATTGTTCTTGGAATTTTTTTCCCCTTGGAATTGAATTGTTTTGTTTTGCTACAAATGATGTATCATGTTTCTTGCTGTTATAATACCTTCCACTTCTCTTTATAGTTTTCCTCCTTTATTTTATATGAGTTTTATATACTTGACTATTTGTTGAGCTAATTTTAAGCCTTGACAATGAAGAAGTAAATAGGATTTTTTGTGTTGGTTAAGCTAAAGAAAGCATTGGTATCTCTGTCAGCACCCTGCTTAGCTGCACCTTCAAGGCACATTCCTGAAGCCCCATTTTCCAGCCCTCGCTGCAGACAGGTGGCCCTGTGCTCCGGGGCCCCTTCTCTGCTCTCGTCTCGGGGCTGCGCCCTGAGCGCCAGGTCGTCTTCCAATGTTCTTTGCTTCCATGTCCAGATCTTCAAGTGTTTTCTTAAATTCTTTTGGACGTTTATTTGATAAATAACAGTATAAATAAGGAAAATCAAGAAAGCATTTAAAGGAGGTTGCCTAATAAATACCTTTCCGGACTCACCTAGACATGACTGGGCGCTGAGAGCCCATTTCAAGCACCTGGATAGTTTTCTAGAGTTTTGGCTGGAAGCCCACCCCCCTGCCGGCTGGCCCCGGCTACATTACATCAGCAGTGTTTTTGTGAAGCCCATTCTGCTCGACCACCCAGAATAGTTTGCTATTACTTCAGTTTTGTTCTTTCCAGCCAGTGATGTAGACAAAGGGCATTAATCTGTCCTTAGTTTTGAATTTTGTCTTTTAAGTTGATGATTCACGTGCCCTTATGCTTTACGTGCCCTGCTGCGGGGGCGCCTGAGGCCCTGAAGGCTTAGGTGGTATTGGGGCACCCACCAGAGACCCTGCGCCACTTGGGGACTCTGTCAAAGGTGGGGAGCATCTTCCGAGTGCCCCGTGGTGCGTCCTTGGAGACCTGGTGTGACCAGCCTGACACTGACGACAGGCTCTGGGTGGCATCCGTCACTCTCAGCAGGTGCCTCCAACAAACCGGGGGTGGGTGACATGCACCGCATGTCCCAGAGTCAGGCTGGAAGGGCAGGTGTTAGGGCCCTCCGAGGACATGGAGACAGTAGGACGCCAGGGGGCTCTGGGTGGGGACCCTCCCTTGGCCGTGACCCCAGGGCAGGACTCACCTCACGGAGCCCAGGCAGCTGCCATTCAGCTTCAGCTGGCTGAGGTTGGGCAGGTGCACCCCTGGGGGCCACAGGAGCGAGAGGTCGGAGACTAAGCCTTACCCCCTCACTCACCTCTCTGCACCCGCCAGAGACATCGGTGCCCCCTGGCCCCTGCCGATCGATGGCTGCTCTGAGTCCTGGAGGCAACCTCAGGGCCGTGTGCTTCACGTGGGGCAGGGGGAGAAGGTGCGCCTGAGTGGACTGGCCCGCCCGGAAGGCCACGTGGCTGCTGGACTCCAGGAGTCCACTTGGAGGAGGGGTGCCCCACTGGTGTGGGGGTGCCGCCACAGCTTGGGTTCCAACCCTGAGTCACATCCCAGGTCAGCCTCAGGCACCCCACACCATAACCCCCATCAACCTGCAGCTCTGTGTTCCAGAGCACAGGACCCTCCCTAGCCAGGGCCCCTGTGTACCCCTAGCCCCCCCCAGAAAGGGTCCTGAGCTAGGCTCCTTCCAAGAACAGGGCATTGACCCTGCAAGACAGTCCCTGATCCCTGGAAAGAGGGATGCAGAGTTGGCCTGTGGGGTACAGGGTGGGCCCATGGGGTGCAGGGCAGGCCCGTGGAGTACAGTGGTCCAAAGACCGAAGCCTGGAGGAGAGCCCTCCAGCGAATGGACCCTCAAGAAGAAGTCTGACTTTGCCAGCCCCACAGCCTGACTTTGCCATGGTGGGGTGTGGACAGGGAGGGGCTCTCACCAAAGTTCCCCAGGCTGCTCTCACGGGTGCTGATGCACATCTCCAGCATGTTCACCAGTTGAAGGTCATCTACCTGGGCCAGGGCCCGCTGCAAAAATCGATGAAGAGTCAGCCTGGAGGCCTGGACAGTTCCCCATCTCTGCCTTTGGCTGTGGGGCTGGGACAGGTGGCAGACATTTCCATGCCTCATCTGTGTTGACCTTGGCCATGGATGGCTTTGGCTGTGGGGCTACTTGCAGACAAGGGCCTGCCCTCAGAGTGCCAGTGTCTAAACGAGACCCGTGGAACAGACCCAGCATGTCGGAACTCAGCTCCGAGTCTGCTGAGCATGGCTGAGCTCTAGCCCCCTCAGACCTGCGGATAAGCGTGCTCGGACCATAAGCCACGAGACTGGGTGCTGTCTGTCATGGAGCATGGCAGCCACAGCCGCCGCACACAGAACTCGGGAGCTAGGTGCCGTTCCGATAGTTCCCACAGCAAAGCAGCTAAAGAATGTAACTGGCTGGGGACCTGGTTGGGGTGTGAAAAAGTGGGTGCCCATGTCACGCGAGACAGTCTCCTGCAGTAGGCTGGATGGCAGAAAATATGCACGAGGAGCTTGTCACGTTGAGTGGAGAGGTCCCAGCATGAGGTGGGCAGCATGAGCGGCCCCGCTTAGTGCACTGGATAAGGCTGCTCGGAGGGAAGGGAGGTTTGGAGCCTGTGGGTCTGAAAAAGAAAACTGTCGCTCAATTCCAATCCACAAGAGAAAAAAAAGCTGAGAAGGGCTTGCAGTTAGGAGTCAGTCTCAGGGACGAGGCTGGCTTGCTCCGCGCCCGCAGGAGAGGCCCCAGCTCGCAGTGATGGAGTCTGTAGAGAGGAACGTGTCCAGACACAATCGTGAGTATGGCTTTCAGTCCTGGAGTCGGCTGGAGTCGTATGTGTGGCACAGCACACGGGCCGTGGGCCTCTGATGGCCAGGCTGCCGTGGCCCAGGGCGGGGGGGTCACGGAGGCTGTCTGCAAGAGCAGTGTCTTTCTCCAGCCAGGAGCCAGGTGGAGAAGGAGGTCTCAGGATGGACAGAAGCCACACCAGGGACAGAACAATCTCCAATCAAAGTGTGTTCCCAGCACAGGGCACCCAAACGTTTGTTTGGTGGGGGTCAATGCCACCAGACCAGGGATTCCCCTTCTCAAGTGGGAGAGGCTGGAGAGTTAGCCTGTTGTGTCCCCCACTGCAGACTTGCTGTGGGGGCCACACTGGTCCTCACGCTTGCCTGGGTCTTACAGACAGGCCTTTCTTCGGATGTGTGCAATACAAACACTTTCCCCTGAGATGCTGGACTCGCCTGAGAAGGGGTTCACGGAGACTCAGGAGTGTGCAGGTTCCGAATGTGGAGAGCGGGCCACCACTCACACCTGTCACTCCTCGCCTGAATTAGAATGGTGCATCCATTCCCTGGCTGGTGACAACACAGACCCCAGAGCAGGTGGCCTCGTCCACGCTGGGCTTGGCTGGAGCCCACAAGTGTGCACCTGGTGTTCACTTGCTGCTCAGCCCAGGGTCGGCCGTGAGCAGGGCAGCCCGCGGTGCTGCTGGGATCAGGGCAGCCTCAGGACGGACACCTGTCTTTGGAGCCAGAGTCTGGGAGACTTATGGTCAGCATTACGTGGCCATAGATGACACATGGGCTACAGAACCCCCCCCCCCCCCGCCAAGGTGTCGGGAAATGCTGATGGGCGCCTGAGTGTCAGCGAGATTCACCCAGGAGCAGTCTGACGTGGGCATCCCGCGGGTCTGAGGAGACAGCTTCATGGTACTGTTTGCACCCCACCTGGGCCTGACATTGTGGGGATCTCAGGCTGTACAAAGCCTTCTGGGTCACGGGGACCTCTGGGGGTGTCCCACCAGCCATCTGAGGAAGGCACGGCAACCATACATACTCCTGCAAACATACTCCCCGTTGGGCATTGTCAGCCGAGAATGAGCATAAAACGAAAGGAAATGAAGCACAGATACTTCACTGGGCACCGGGAGTGTCTGCCACTCTGCGGATGCTGGGGGGGGGGGGGGGTGCGCCGCTCCCAGACTGCAGCCACCGGGCCCAGAGCCATTGTCCTGTCTCCTCGGCTTCTGGCCGGCATGAGCTCACTTCCAGGCCCTGAGGGTGCTTGCGGTGGGCCTGCCCAGGGCCCTGCTCCTGGTGTGTGGTGCTCGGTAGGTGATGAGGCTAGGTCCTCCTGGTGGGGGGGGGGTTGTTCTGCCCTACCTGCACCCTGTTCCTGGCACTCCCTGGCCAGGCAGCACCACCCTGAGCTCTGTGCCCTCCCTGTCCCTCCTCTGCTGCCAGCCAGCCGCTCTGTCCAGCAGAGGACACTCTAGCCCTGTGGCCAGGTCAACAGGTGCCCGAAGTCCCCTCTGAGAGTCAGGCTGTCAGGGCCCTAGGCGTGCCTGAGACAGGAGCACCACCCCGAGCTCCTCCATGCACACTGGCCCCTCCAACACACCCCCCTGCTGTGTCTGAACCCAGACCTCATCCGCACGGAGGGACATAGGACCCCAGAGCTGGCCTGCACAGAGGTGGCCTGCGGCCGTGAATCCATCTCTGCGCCCTGGGGCGGTGTTAGGGGCTGTTGTGGGGCTGGTGGAGGGCCGTCCTGATGTGCCCCATGCTGGACAGAGGCACTGGGAAGACGGGGGGGCCTGCAGGGCGGCTGGAGGGCTGCATGCCCGGAGGAGCCAGCGTGGCACGTGGGGTGGGGGCCTGGCAGCGAGTCCCTTCCCCCTGAGCTGATCTCGGAGTTGGTCAGGAAGGCAGAGGGGGCCCCATGCAGCCAGGCTTCCTTGTGCTGCACATTGGTGAGTATGTCGCCCCGGCGTCTCCAAGGGACCCCTCCCCATGCGCCTTTCACCCTCTTACCCCGTGCAAGGGTGGGTGTGGACAGGTGCCTGCAGCTGGTGGGGTCTGTCCCCTCAGCATGGCCAGCAGCGGGTGACGTGCAGAGGTGCCCGGAAGGGTTGCTGGGCAGGAATCGGGAGTCGGGAGGGCTCTCCATGTTGTGGTGGGCCTCAGGATGGGGGCGGGGCTGACAGCAAACCCCCACCCCAGATGTGGGACAAAGCCTTCGCCAGTGGCTCTGGATACAGTGGGTGGGACGCTGGAGCGGCCCCCACTTAACCAGCTGCACTCGGATGCCAGGGCTCCCTTACCGTGCCTGTGCTTTCATTCACTCCTGGCGGTCTGGGCCTCCCGTGTGCTGGGCACTTGGACGGCTTCCCACCCTGCCTCCCACACGGACGACAGCTGCTTGAACGAGGGGCTTCTCAGGTTCATGGAATGGTTCATGGAGGCCGCACACAGTGGGTACTAGGCAAATACCTGTGGGATTCCTGCCCGGCTCATTCCCTTTGGGGTCCTGAATGCCTGGGGCACATCTGTGTCGCATAGCAGGGCTGAGGGTGCCTGTCAGCCAGGCGAGGCTGGAGGGCTGAGGGCCACGGGCAGGCGGGATCAGGCCTGGACTGCTGCCTCACGCAGACCCTTGCGGCCACTTACCAGTCGGGCCGGTGACAGGTGCTCCTCTACCAGCCGCTCGTCATGGCTGCCCCTGTGGCTGCCCGGGTCCTTGCTCTGAGGGCATGGGTTGTGCAGGCCTTGCCAGCTCAGCTCCCGCACCCGGACAGCGGCCGGGCTCGGCCAAGGCTCTTGGGCTTTGTCCCAGGCCTGGGCCATTCACATCCAACCTGCGGGGGATGGGTGGAGGGCAGAGCTACTAAGCCTTTGCTCTCCCTCGGGTCTGCAGCCTGGCCTAAACCCCTGCACAGCCAGCCCTGTGGGGCTCCCCTGCCTGGCTCTGGTGGGCTCTACTCATTTAGTTTCCCCCTGCCTGGGGTCCTCATGGTGCCCTCCCATCCCCCGCTCAGCCTTAGCTTACACCCCACTGGGGTCTGGGAACGTCACCTTCTTGTGTTTTGGCCCATCCTCCAGGGCCCAAAGAGGGGTACTGGCTCTGGACCCCCCTATTGGAGGTCCTATGTAGGCTGCGAGATGTGGGACCCTGGGGGGTGCCATCGGCCCCAAGTCATGTTTGCTCTGTCAGCTGTGACCAGCAGCAAGCCATTCCCTCAGGCCCTGTGCTGCTGTGCGTCTCCATCAGTGGTCTCCGAGCATGGGGGCCCAGGACTAGGCTCTCAGGCATCCCCCCCAACCCCTGTGCCCACTGAGCCCCCTCACCTGGAGGCAGCTGCCTTTTCCCACCATGGGTCAAACATCCAGACAAGGCGGCGGCATGTGCGCCCAGGCAGCACCTGCAGGAGGGAGGTGGGTGAGCCTCCTGGCCAGGTCACTGTGCCCAGGGGATCCGAGGCAGGCAGGACTGAGGTCACAGGGCCCAGAAGTGAGAAGGTGTGGAGATGCGTGGGGCTGTCAGTGGGGGGACTGGCCCTCAGGTCCTTTTGATCATCCTGATGGGGGCCCCAGACTGGCTGATGGAGAAGACAGTCAGGTTGTTGCTGACTCCATTCTCTTTCCAAAAGGGGTTCCCAGGGCAGCCACAATGGACTGTCCCTCATGGGCTGGGCTCCCTGGCATGCTGTTCCTCCTGAGTACCCCCATCCCCAGGCCCCACGGGAGGCTGTTCAGTGTGTCCCTGGACCACCTGCACATGCTTTGTCTGGCATTGCTCATTATTATTTAAAAAAATTTTTTTTTACATTTACTTATTTTTGAGAAACAGATAGAATACAAGCAGGTGGGGGGGAGGAGGCAGAGAGAGGGAGACACAGACTCTGAAGCAGGATGCAGGCTCTGAACTGTTAGTGCAGAGCCGAACATGGGGCTTGAACTCATGAACCATGAGATTGTGACCTGAGCCAATGTCGGATGCTTAACAGACTGAGCCACCCAGGTGCCCCAGGCATTGCTCCTTAAAGATGCAGGTTGCCTGACCTGACCCCAGACCCTAGAACCATCTCTGGGGGTAGAGCCAGAAGCCTGCCCAGAACGTTCTGGCCACTTGTCTCTAACTTGGGTTGAGGCCTCACTGATCCCTGCCTTGGTATTCCCTCCTGCCCTTCCTGGATTTGCTTTCCTTGTAAGTCTGACTCATTCTATGGTCCTCTGTGTTTTATAACTCATTCTGTTGAGTTAGCACCTCACCCCAAGACAATGTGGGGCCCTGCGCAGGCAGGATGCTTGCCCGCTGCGTCCACAACGTACGGAAGAGAGGCTCTAAGCGAGTCACTGAAGGAATCAGCCAATGGATCTACTGCTCTTATCCATCAGCCCCCGTGGACATTCCAGACACATCCTCCCCGCCATGCTTAGGGCTGGGAGGGTGGCCAGCTGGGCTCTGACAGAGGCCTTGGGAGGGGTGCTGAGACCTGGGTCTGTGTGCCTCAGTGGCCTCCCCTGGAAAGCGACGCATACACCCAGGGTCCAAGGAAGTTAAGGCCATGGGGTTTCCAGCCAGGATTTCTTTCCAAAAGTTCTCTCTGCTGCCTGCCTCTCTCTAGCTGGTGAAAAGCCCCAAGCCTAGCAGGAGGACCTCACCACTATGCCTCTTGGGAATACGCTGCCCACCCCACTCCCAGGCCGGCCAGCCTTGCGGGAACGGGAGTGCACGGGCTGTTCAGGCTGCAGCCCCAAGATGCCCTTGGCAGCATTAAGGGCCAAGCCCACTGCCCTGTCCTGTGCCTGACAGCAGCTGAGCAGTGGTCCTCCCCCTGACAAGGCCCAGCGTATCAGCCCAAAGGTCTCAGGGTCCAAGGAGCAGGGCCTGTAAACACTGTCCCCTCACATTCATGCACTGGCGGAGCCTGTCTGTGCTGTTCATGCCCCCCCCCCCCGCCCTGCCACTCTGTGGGCCCCACAAACCTCCCAAGTTGGAAACCCAGGGGGCTGTCTGTCCTCACAGCCCAGGCTAATGCCAGCCCCTGGTCTGGCTCATCAGCTCTCTGGGTCCCCTGCACCCTCCAGGCCTTCACCACACAGGGAGGAGCTCTGAGGGCAGGTCCTGGCCTCAAACGGGTCCCCACCAAGGAAACTGCCAAAGGCAGAGTCTGGGTCCCTGCCTCCCAATCTTCCCCAGAGGCAGGGCTTGGGGCCCCTCCTATCCCGGTGACCGGGAGTCCTTGGGAGCCGGCTATCGGTTTTGAGCAGGGGCTCTGGAGGACCAAATCTGACACCTGGGGGTACCGCTGAGTTCCCCACGGGCCTTGCTGCTTCATCCTAGGGCCCCTTCCTCGGCCTGTCTCCCCCGAGGCACCGGGGAGACAGCGAGGCCTGTGGCCCCGGGCCCAAACGCGTGCGTGGCTCTCACCTGAGAGGTTGGTCTGGGTGCCACCTCCCTGGGCGCCCTCCGCCGCTCGGTGTGGGTCGTTCTTCCGGTGGCGGGGTTGCGGGCCCTGGGCGCCATGGCAACCGGGCCGGGGCATCATTTGAATACTCAAATATTCATGAGGCCGCGGGCAGCGGCTGCAGGTCGAGCCACGCCCCTTTAGCAACAGTTGCCAGGGCAGGGCGGCGGGGGCGGGGCAGCAGCCAACCCGGATCGGGATCCGGAGGGTAGGGCTCCGGACGCCGCGGGCACCCCCTGGGCTGGGAGGGAGCCGGAGGCAGAGGCGAGACGCCATCAAGCGGGGGCGGCGGGGTGGGACGCCAACAGGCCACTTGTCAGTCCCCGCAAAGTGGGTCTCTGAGCGGACAGCACCCACCTCCCTCAGCGGGAGCGTCGCCCCGAAGGCCCTGGCGTGGCCTGGCGAGGTTCACCTCCGCCTCCGCGCGTGGCGGCGCCCAAACAAAAGGAAGCACCGTGGGAAGGATCCCCCTCGAGGACCAGGGAAATGCAGGCCGGACACCCGGGGGGTTGGAGTGTCCGCGCCCGAGAGGGACGCCGCCACCCGCTTCCATTTAGGCACCTTCACCTCGTGTCTGTGCGCGTCAGGCGCAAGCAGCGGCGCAGTGCGCGGACCTCCAACCGGATACGGTCACGGCCCGTGGGGTCGGCTGTGATACGGGCGGGGATGGTCCCCGAAGGCGCCCCCCAAGGCCACAGCCTGCAGTGGGGTGAGCTCCCAGAGAACAGCACGGAGCCGGCACGGGAGGGGACACGGGCTGGGAGGGGTGCCGTCTGAGCAAAGCGAGCTTGGGCCTCACGTGTAGTGCAGCGTTCTTTCTGTGTGTTTATACGTTACTCTGAAATTTTAAAAAATGTTAAAACATGTCTTTTTCAAAGTCTTGAAGGGAGACGGGACGTGCATGTTTGTGTTTGGGGTGGGGGAGGTTTCAGCTCACCACCCTTGGGCCACACGGAAGGCTTCTGCCGCGCCGGAACCTCTGGGCTGGGGGAGCTGGGTGGGCCGGTCTGCGGGGCCTGCCCAAGTTGGGCGAGGTTGGTGCTGAGGGGGTGCGGCAGAGGGGCTCCCCCCGCCCCCGAGCGGGGCTGCGCGCCGGTGAGAAGCAAGAGCTTCTTAAGAAGCCCGGATACGGGCTCAGAAGGCAGCCTGTCTCGCTGCTCCGCGGGCGCAGATGGGTCCCCGCCCGGCCGAGACGGCCCTGCACCGCCTGTGCCCCGGGCGCCCCGGCTGTGCCGCGCCCAAGGACTCCGCCGGAGGCGCCAGGCGTCCGGGGGCGGGGGGGGGTGACAGGGGCTCAGTCCGGAGCCACCTGCGGGAAGCCGGGCGTAGGGCAGCCGAGCGCCCACCACTGGGGGTCCCAGAGACTCCCGGCGCGGCCCGGTCCTGCTCCAGGCACCTGACCCGCGTCCGGGCGGCCCCCTCTGCCTTCGTCCAGCCCCCAGCCCGAGGGGCGTCCGCCGGCGCTCGTCCCGCGGACTGACCCCTCCGCTCCGGGGCGCCCTCGGCGGGCTGCGCGTCGCGGGGCTGGGGAAGTCCTCTCTGGCAGGGCTGGGGGCTCGAGCCGGACCGCAACGACTCCGCCCCAGTCTACACCCGGACGCGGACCCGCTGCCCGGGGCCTCTATCTCTTCGGGAGAGTCCGAACGCTTCCCCGGACCCGCGACCCCCGGATCCTCAGTCCTCCTGCCCGGCCGAGCCCAGCCCCTCAGGCCGCGGCCCAAGAGGGCCTCCAGGGCCGGCGCCGCCCTCCGCGCTGTTTCCCGGAAGCCCCGCCCGGCCGCAGCCTTTGACGGGCGGGGCGATCGTCCAACCGGAGCGGGGCGGGGCGGGACCGGGCGGTTTCGGGGCGGGGGCGGGCGCCTGCAGCCAATGGCAAGCCGCGCCGGGCTGACGGACGGGGCGCGGGGTGGGGCGTGCGCCGGCCCGGCCGAGTGTCCGCCGCCCGCGCGCCCCGCCGCCGGCAGCCCGAGCCGCACCCTCCGCGGACGGAGCCCATGCGCCGGGCGACCCGCGCGCCCCGGCCCCGGCCCCCTTCCCCGCCCCCGCCCCGGCTCCGGCCCCGGGGGCAGTCGCGCCAGTGAGCGGTGAGTGCGGCGGGGGCGGGCGGCGGCCGGGGCTGCGGTGCGGGGCGGCGGCGGCGGCGCGGCGGGGCGCGCGGGGGCGCAGGTGAGCCGCGGGCGGCGGCGGCGGCGGCGGCGGGGGCGCTGTGCGTCCGCGTCCCCGGCCCTGCCCTGCGCGAGGCCGCGGCCGTCCGCGGGGTCGCCCGCCCTCTAGCTGCGAGGCTGCCCCCCGAGTGCTCGGGCACCAGGCGGCCATCACGCGCAGCCGGCGAGCCGGGGTGTAGGAAATCACTGCCCACTGTCCGTGCAGGGGCGTCCGCTCGTGAAACCTCCCACACTGGGGCACCCCAGCCGGAGGCCTAAGCCCTGGCCTTCATTCTTTTGTCACCTGTGCGTCTGCCGCACACCTCGTTTGGGTCTGTTCCTCTCAGTCAGCTGCTTGTCGGGAACCCTCCCCACCCCCCTACTCCCGCCGGGCTGCCCACATCTGCCTTCTTCAAAGTTCCTACAGCAACAGGGTACCGGGAGTTTCCCGTTATTTTAACGGTGCGGGTCTCCTTGCGGTGTGGGCAGAGCCCCCGGGGGGCAGGGGGTTCTTCTCTGCCTGCCTGTCACCGTGTGCCTGGAACAGCCACTGGCATACAGTAGGCACTCAGTAAATACTTGTCAAATGCACCAACACGCTCCGTGGGGCCCCGAGCGGGTTGTAGGCTGGCACTGGCCTGCCCGGGCACGCTGCTGGGCGCTCCACGGTGGCAAGACCTGTTTTCGCAGGGAGGGGAACTGGGAAGCTCAGCCTGCAGGGCCTCCGGTCCGGGCTTTCTGCCTACCCAGCAACTTCTAATTCGGGTGCGTGGTTGGGAGATGCTCTCAGCTGTCAGCCCTGCCTTTGGGGGGCCACCTCCCTGCCTCTGTCACAGCTGTTAGCTGCAGCTGGAGGCGGGGCCCCTCTCCCACCCCTGGGCTGGAGGTGCCACAGGTGGGCGGCTAGGCCTCCATTCTGGCTGCCACCTGTGTTACCTGGTTGCCTGGGGCCAGGGGGTGGGGCTGGCCAGCCCCCGGAGCCCGACAGGCCTGCCCTGCGGGGCCGCTGCGGCTGAGTGCGGCTTGCTTCCTCGGCAGGTGGCTCGGGAGGCCACCGCATTGACGCACTGACGTGTGCCGCGACCCCCTGAGGAGCGATGACGGAATATAAGCTCGTGGTGGTGGGCGCTGGAGGTGTGGGGAAGAGTGCCCTGACCATCCAGCTCATCCAGAACCACTTCGTGGACGAGTACGACCCCACCATTGAGGTGAGCCATGCTTCCCCCGTTCCCAGCCCTCCCCTCGCGGTGTGGGCGCCCGACGTGGGCGCGACTTCCGTGTCTGCTCTCCAGGGCCTCGGGGCGGGGCATGCGTGGGGCCAGGGAGGGGCTGCCCGTTTGCTTGTCTCAACCGAGAGATGGGGGTGGTCCCTAAGCACTGTCCTCTGCAGGACTCATATCGGAAGCAAGTGGTTATTGACGGTGAGACGTGCCTGCTGGACATTTTGGACACGGCGGGCCAGGAGGAGTATAGCGCCATGCGGGACCAGTACATGCGCACCGGAGAAGGCTTCCTCTGCGTGTTTGCCATAAACAACACCAAGTCCTTCGAAGACATCCACCAGTACAGGTGAGCCGCTTGCTGGCCCCCAGGGGCCTCCCTTTCTCTCTCACTCCATCTGTCTCTCTCCTTCACTCTCAAGGGTCTGGATGCAGCTGTGCCTGCAGCCCACGACTGGGCCACACCTTCTTCTTTGCAGGGAGCAGATCAAGCGGGTGAAGGACTCCGACGACGTGCCCATGGTGCTGGTGGGGAACAAGTGCGACCTGGCTGCGCGTACTGTGGAGTCTCGGCAGGCGCAGGACCTCGCCCGCAGCTATGGCATCCCGTACATTGAGACGTCAGCCAAGACTCGCCAGGTGAGCCGGCTCCCCACCCCACCGCCAGCCAGGGACCCCCCCCACCCCGCCCCAACCCTGCCAGGGAGCAGTGCTTTATTGCCCCCTCTCCCCCGACACAGGGCAGCCGCTCTGGCTCTGGCTCCAGCTCCGGGACCCCCGTGACCCAGCGGCCCCTAGCGCTGTAAGTCTCCCCGGATGGCAGGGCAGCGAGGGCGGCCAGGGCCCAGGGTCTGGGCTGACACAGCTCCAGGGGAAGGTGGAGGTCCCGGGAGAGAGCTGCCCTGAGCCAGGCCGGAGCGGTGACCCTGGGTCCCTGGCCCCTCTGCCCCCAGAGAGCCCCATGGGCCCTTGTTGGCCCTGACCCCTTAGTGCGCTGTCGGGCATGAGGGTGGCAGGTCAGACAGCAGTGGGACACAGGGTGTTCAAGCTTGGAGCCAGACCTCGGGGCCGCCCTGTGGGGGGAGCTTCTGGGGATCAGTCCGCCCAGCGGGGGCAGCCCTGGGGCTTCCTGTCTATCGGGGTAGGGGTAGGGGTGGGGAGGAGGTGGGCAAGGGGCTGCAAGTCTGCATGAGCTCGAGGCAGGGGTCCTTGGGTCTCCTCCCCTGCGGAGTCCGCCTCTGAGCCGGCCCCTTCCTCCTAGGGCGTGGAGGATGCCTTCTACACGCTGGTCCGAGAGATCCGGCAACACAAGGTGCGGAAGCTGAGCCCGCCCGACGAGGGCGGCCCGGGCTGCATGAGCTGCAAGTGCCTGCTCTCCTGACGTCCCTTCCGTGTCCACCGTGACGTCCTCACTGGCCCTCTGCGCCCCACGAGCACAGGCACGGGGCGCGGGGGTGCCGGATGCTGGGAGGAGGCGCGGACGAGGAAGGAGGAGGGGAAGGAAGGAAGGAAGGATGGAAGGAAGGAAGGAAGCGCCACCGGAGCCCGGCCAGCCCAGGCTCCCTGGACACAGGGACCGCAGACCTCCCGGGACGCTTTGCACAGACTGTCGTGAACTGAGGCCACCGGCACCCCGGCTGTTACTCTCCTCCCAGCCCCGTCCTGGCCCGCTGGGCACAGGCTGAGTTGCAGTAAATTATTTGATGGTCTTGACCCTGGCGTCTGGCCGAGGTTGGGAGGCACGGGGGAACCTCAGCTTTGGGTGCTAGGCGACCCCTCTGCAGGGGCGCGGGGCAGGGGCCGGTCCGGCGGCCGGGGCCGAGTCACCATTCTCCATTCTGGGCATCTGGCGTTTCTTGCAGATGCTCCGGGCGCCGCAGTGACAGGCTGGCTTCGCGTTTTACCACAAAAACACTTTACTGAACTTTATAAACAGCAAACGGGGATTGAAGCCACGGGTGGGTGCCTTCCCCTGGAGAGGGAAGGCGTGCTTCAGTGAGTGCTGAGGTGGGACAAGGCAGGGGTGCTGAGGTCCATCGCCTTGGAGGCTCCTAGCGACTCCAGGGGGCATCCCAGTCCCTGAGTTTGGGGACCCTGAGAGGCAGTTGCTGAGGACGGCAGAGTGAGCGTCCCGCCTGCTGCTGCTTTTGCCTGACTTTGCTGGAGCGGGGCCCCAGCATGTCCGCTCGGTCTGTGCCGTTGGTGCCAGGTGACCGACTGCCGGAGTCCCGTGTGGGTGAGGGTGGGGCCGACCTGCCTGCCTCCGCTACCCCTTCGTTGGGGTGGCCTGTTGTTCCCAGAGCCGCCTTAGGTCACCTTCACGGACTTGTGGGGCACACCTCTCCGCCAGGGCCCTCCTTGGGCCAGAATCCAGGACTGGTTAGGGCCACCGGGGGCTCGTTCCCATCAGTCTTCATTCTGGTTGTTGTGGGGTTGTGTTGCTTCTGCCCTCGCCACCCCCCGGGCCCAGGGCCAGGCCAGGGCAGGTCCCCGTGGGTCAGAGGAGGCAGCGCTTCCCTCCTGGAAGGCCGGCGTGCCGTGGCCGGACATGCTGCCAGCTGGCCAGAGCCTCGGGGCCGCCACGCTCCCCCCTCTCTCCTCCAGAGGCCCTCGAGCATCTAGCTTCCCTGTGGGCGCAGAGGCCAGAGGGTCTCCGGGATGTTGGCGGCCTCGGGGAAGCTGGCAGAGTGTTTCCCTGGCTCTCTGCTGGCCATGCCCATCTCTACCCAGAGAGGGGCATGAGCTTCAGCGGCCACAGAGCAGGACAGGTGTCCCAGGCCCTCCAGCTTCATTTTTAGTGGGCTGGCCGGACCCTGTCACTGGGGTCCCAGTGGGGTTTCAGAGCTGGGTGTGTTGTGTGCCCCCTGGGGTGGCCCTGGCACATGCTGAAGGGAAAGGGACCCAGTGTTCTAGCTGAGCCCGTGTCTGCACCTTCCTGGTTCACTGGGAGGTTTGAGAGGGACTCCCATTGCCATGCGGGCAGCTGTGCCAGAGAAGGTTCTGGGTGTATGTGGGGGCAAACAGGCCAAGAACCTGAGCCTCTGGGGCTTCTAGAGACAGTGTGTGGCCACGGGCTCCATGGAGGTTCCCTCCTGCAGCCGCTCCTCCGTCTTGAGGTTGGCCTGGCCGGGAGGGGGTCCAGGCTGCTCATGTTGGGGGGCTGGGCTGGTGGGCCAGCCCATCTCCCCTGGGGAGCATCTCAATGCCAGGGGAGGTGAGGGGAGGCCTGGGCGTCAGGGACACTGTTCTGGGCCTGGGGGCGTTGTGGGGAACTCTTCGAGTTTTGCTGAAGAGATGCAGATGGTTAGTTTCTGCAGCTGTTTGTCCCGAGCGGGATGGGGCGCCAGGGTGTCCTCATGGCTCCCCGCGCGGCCACCCTGGCCTGACACAGCAGCCCACAGGCCGCTGACCCCCAGTCCCTGCGGTGCGCGCCCGGATTTCCAGGCTGGCCTGGTGTCCCCGATCCCGGAGCAGAAGAGGAGATGGACGGGGACAGGACAGGGAAGGAGCCCCCTGGTGGGGCAGCTCACGCTTCATCCTTTGTAGCTGGGTGTGAGGCCTGCGGGTGCCTAAGTCCACCTGCTCCTCCAGGGCCCAGCTCAGGACCAGCGTGTCCCTCACAAACTCGAGAAGACCTTTCCGTGGCCGCTTCAGGAGGCGCTCGAGGAAGTGTGTGCGAGTCAGGCCGACAGCGGCCCCACTGCTGGGGCTCCAGCTGAGCCCAGGAGTGTCCTGGTCAGTGCCGAGGCGGGGGGAGGGGGGGCCCTGCCCAACCTGCAGGTCCAGCCCTCCCTCTGAGGCCATTGTACCCCCCACCCAGGCTCACCGACTCCTGTGCCTGTTGAGGACTGTGTAGGCCGTGGCTGTGAGCATGCCCTCACCGCCCAGGATGAACACATTCCAGAGCTTCTGGGTGAGCGGGAAGGGGGTCTGTGGGGACAGGCCTGGGAGGAGCAGCCTGGGCAGGACTCTCAGCATGGGCCAGGAGCCCCCATCTACCCACGGCCCCCGCAGCCCCTTCTGTGGGTGGACTTGTGAGGAGGGATGGGCTCCAGGCCACTCAGGGCTGTGAGGACGCAAAGCCGGGGGGCAACAGACCCCGCCCTACGCTCAGCGGCAGCACGACCACGGGCTGGCAGCGGCATGGGCCAAGGGCTTGTGCACACTCCTGGCTGACCTGGCCTTCTCTGCAAGGGGACTCTGGGCTTCCCCAGGATGGGTCTCAGCTTCCGGCCTCCGCCTTACATCCCCTGGGTGTGGCCTGGCTTCTCCGGAGTGTGGGGCTGAGCGCGGCCCTCCCTGGGGCGGGGGGAGGAGCTCAGGGAGTAGGTCTCCTTGTCACCTGGTCAACGTAAAGGAACCGCTGGGCCCAGTCAGTCCCAGCGCACATGTGCTCATCCTGGCGGAAGGGCCGCGGGTATTCAGGACGCAGCTGGCGGCCAGAAACCTCCCTGCACCAGGGCCTGTGGAACCGAGTCGATGTACTCCCCACGGCCCTGCTGGGCCCCGAGTGCACCTCTGGGCCCCCCAGGAGGAGGAAGCAGAGCCTTGCCAGCTGCGTGGGGCTCTGCACCACCCCCTGCACCATGGGGACAGTGCCACTGGGGCGCTTCTACTCGCCATGTGCTTCTTCAGCTTTGGGGGCGCTTTGTCTGGGATGTGCTCGTGATGGGCCCGGACGAGAAGCCTGAGGAGGCCCAGTTCCGCCCACTGTCGGGGCCTTCTCCCACCAGGTGGGGGTTGGGCGCTAGGCAGTGACTGCTGTGTGCGCAGCCCTCCTGAGCGCTGGCTGCATGCGCTCTGGGGAGAGCCTGGGGTGGCGGGGACAGGACCCCCCTCCTCGCAGCTGGGCTGGCGCCCCGGGCCGAGGACCAGGCATGTCTGACCCAGCACCCTCTTTCCCGCAGCGGCCACAGCAGGGCAACAGGGTTCCAGGCACAGGGGCAGGGAGCGCGGCCCACGGCGGGGGAGGGGGCTTGGGAGTCCTGCTGGGGGCACACAGGAGCGGGAGGCGATGCCCTCTGGGCTTCACCGGCTGTGGGCCGGCAGGGGGGCGGGAGGGCTGAAGGACCAGCAGGGATACAAGAATGGGCCAGAAGCGGTGGGGCCGGTGGCCGTGGCTGCAGGACCCTGAAGGCAACATGGGGAGGCAGTGCCCTTTGCCGATGGGGACGAGGGCTGGGTCGGGGGCCCCGCCTGCCCACTGCTGGAGCGGCCCTGCAGGGAGGCTCTCCTGAGCTCCACGTCCCGTCCAGTGGCCGGCCGGGACCCCTGCCTCGCATGGTGTGCCTCTCGTTGGTCGTCGGCTGAGCTGGCACCCGGAAGGCGTCCTCCTCACTCAGGAACATCAGCAGGACGGGCACGGTCTGGCAGTGGCCCACCTCCTGCAGGGCCAGACACTCACGGAAGGTGGCCTCTGAGCCAGGCCCCTACCCTGACATTGGGTTCCCAGGGCGTCCTCACAGCCCGAGCCCCCAGAGGAAGCCCCCAGAGGCGGGGAGAGCAGGGCTCGGGGCTCTGCCTTCCAGGACCAGCTCAGGGGTCAGCACCACGCAGCCCCACTGCATGCCATCCTGGGGTCCCCTGTCTCAGACAAGGAGGAAGTGACTCGTTGAATGTGCCAGGGTGAAGGGGACCTGCAAGGCCTGGAAACCCCCCGCCCCCCATGAGTGCAGGCAGGGGCCTCACTGTGGCACATGGAGGAGGGCCCACGAGGAGAGCGGGGCCAAGACACCGCCATGGAGCCCATGGGGTCTCTGAGCTTGTGTTCCCCCGGGGAATCTTCTGAAGATGTGGCAGAAAGGGAGCCGTCTCCTGGTATACCACACTTCTGGAGTTCCAGTTAATGGGAACCTTGCTCTCCGCCAAGTTCCTGGATAGCATTATGGTATCTTCCGGACCCAGAGCCGATGCAGCCCCAGGGCTCGGTGCCAACCCTTCTCAGCAGTGAAGCCCTCTGCCTCCCCTGGCCTCTCTGTGACAGCGGCTGCGGAGTCCTAACTAGTGCGTCCTGTTTGGTCACGAGCACTCAGTTTCAGGGAGGACAGTGTAGGGCAGCCCCGTGGTGGCGGGATAGTCATGGCGTTGTCACGGCATGGACGGAGCACACGCAGACCATGGCCTGCTGCCCGGGAAAGGGGACGGCAGAGGGAGTGGGTCTGCATTCGTGTGGCCAGCCCTGACAGCTCGCCGCAAGTGCCTCAGTGCGCCACGTTTCCCTGGGGCCGAGTCTGCGTACAACAGGATGCAAATATCTGAGAGACAGTGTGATGGGTTATGTTCATTCTGGCGTCTTCAGTTTGCCTCCACTAAAGCTCACTGTGGGATGTACGCTCTTGGGTCTTCACAGAGACCCCCCCCCCCCCGCCGCCCGCTAGGTCCCTGGGAGCAGCGCCTTTGCCCTGCAAGTCCCCTGTGTAGCCAGGCGCCCGCCACCTCACCTGCTCCGGGCAGCCCGATGCTTCTCCTCCCCGTGATCACAGCGTTCGAGAGTCGGGCCTCCTTCGCTGAGCAAAATGCACGCAAGGTGCTTCCACGCCATTGAGCGAATCCATAGCTCACTTCTCACTTCTTAGCCCTGGGTTGTGTTCCGTGTTGTGGATTCCCTGTGTTTATGCAAGAGCATCTTGGCTGCATCCGGTTTTAGCTGTCGTGAATAAAGCAGTGAATGCTTGCATGCAGGTGTTACGTGGATGCAGGTTTTCGAACCAGTTA